GCGCACATACACATACATACTTGGTAAAAACACAATGAAAGATGGTGTTTTCTCCTATGTCTTTAAAAAATAAAAAATTCATTTTGGTAGAATAAAATGTATTTCCATCAGCTATATGCTTTTCGCTCCTGTAGCAATATAGGCCTAAGTCCCCGTTCCTTTTTTATTCTCTTCTGACATTCGGGAATCCCCATCTTTCAATGCACATACACATACATACTTGGTAAAAACACAATGAAAGATGGTGTTTTCTCCTATGTCTTTAAAAAATAAAAAATTCATTTTGGTAGAATAAAATGTATTTCCATCAGCTATATGCTTTTCGCTCCTGTAGCAATATAGGCCTAAGTCCCCGTTCCTTTTTTATTCTCTTCTGACATTCGGGAATCCCCATCTTTCAATAGCAAACTTTAATTTGAAAACTAAATAAATCAAGCCTTGAAAATGAGCTTAAAACCCGGGTGCCACCCCTGACAAGCTGGGTTGCTTTAGATGAGTGACTAAACTCCTCTGGGCCTAGCTGTGCCCACTTCTAGAATGGGCGCCTGGCACCCAGTTGACCTAGGACATCCAGTGTGACCACAAGGAGCTCAGGACGGGGCTGCTGCTTAGCCAGCTGCCCACCAGTGCCAGCTGTTCCTTTCTGTCCTCGGAGAAGGAGGTCAGGGCTGGACCCAGCAGAGCCGCTGGGACTCGGCCCCCTGCCCCCGGCCAGCGCGGCACCTGCCTCCCTTGGCGACAGACCTCCCTCCCATGGCCCCCATGGTTTTTCTCTCAGGAAACATGATTAGTCAGCCTGCTGCGGGAGACGGGAAAGGGTGGGAAACTGGCAGAGCTGACGCTAGTTGCTCTTTCGCAGGCGCCTCACCTCGGTCAAAGCTCCTTTTGAAAAACCTCTGGGAAGAGACGAGATTTTCCATGATGGAGAAGCAGGGAGGAGGGGATGGGACCATGTCCAGGATGGGGCGTCTCGCCTGCTGAGGCCCAAGATGACGGGAAGGGGTCTACACAGGACTTAAAGAATCCACCCTGGGTCAGGGGAAGGCTACCGTGTGTTTCCCACACAGTGCTCCAGAGCTGGGTTAACCAACGTCACCCCCTTGGGGACAGCCATGGCCAACTTGGCTCCCCATCATCCTGTGTCCAGCTCCAGGGTGACCCACATATACCACAGGGAAGGAAAGCACTTGTGGGAGGTCACCCTCCTCGGCAGTGTGGACACCCTGCGATGTGGGGACCTCCCTGGTCCACCTGGGGACACGAGAGGGCGCCCAGGGACCAGATGACGTGAACACGGGATGCATGTGGGAAAGAGGAGAGAGACACACACAGTAGGGGTACAGCATAAGCACCCATGGCTAACTGTCCCCCCATCAGGGCCACACCCAGCCCTCCAGCGACAAGGGACAGGTAGGGCTACCAGACCAGGATGGACAGGCGTAGGAGCAAAAGAGGGAGATGCAGCCATGTCTAAGCCAAGAATAAACAACAGGAAGAGACTCCTTTGAAGGTCACATGTGATGCTAACATGAGACTGAGTTGCTCAGTCCGTGCCTGGCAGGCACAGTGCTCCACGAATGATCATTTTTACCATGTTGTTACGAATAACAACTGGACTGTGACCTCCAAAAAGTGAGAAATGAATAAAGGATGGCCAACCTCACGCGCAAGGCAAGAACTGCGGATGGAAATGCAATCCCACGCTGTCTTTTGTCCATCTGATTACGAACAGGCAGGGGCTGGATGACAGCAGGGAAGCCAGGCGCTGTTGGGACAGGTGGATGTCTACACCACCAGCCAGCACACTGTTGGTGCAGGATGTGCTTGGCAGCCGGGACCCATATCCAGGATTCACTGGATTCACATCCACCCCGCCCAAGTCCACACAAAGGCAGCCCCTTGAGGGTTTCACAGCAGCGCTGTTCAGAGTGACATGGCCTGGGAACCACTCTGTGTCCATCAATAAGGACGTGACTTCTAGGCCTGTACTGCATTTGTCTCATCCAAGGAAAAGCCCAAACCACATATTTGTTAAAGAAAACAGGGCCAGATGTGGTGGTGCACGCCTGTAATCCCAGCACTCTGAGAGGCTGAGGCAGGAAGATCACAGGTTCAAGCCCAACCTAGGCAACTTAGTGACTTTAGGAGGCCCAGTCTCAAAATAAAAAATAAAATGGGCTGAGGCTGCGGCTCAGTGGGAAGGCCTGGGGTCCAATCCCCAGGGCTGTGGAGGAGGAGGAGGAGAGGGAGGCAGAAGAAAGCTCTGACACAGAGCTTCGCACACACTCTACAGGAGCTAACCCATGCGGTGCTGGCCAAGGGACAGAATGACATGTCACACATCGTCACCCATTTCTCCCAGCCCTTCCACCACTGCCATTTAGCTCAGTTCGCTCCCTCACCGTCAGTCTCTCCTGCCACAAAGTGCGGGCACCTTGACAATCGCTTTCCTGTGTGTTCCTGGGACATGGAAGGTCCTCAAACATCAGTGACTAGGCCCAAGTGCCCATGGCAGAGACGTCCTCTGCAGCTGCTCTCGACTTCTCCACCGGACTGCGGGCCACACCCATGCAGGGTGCTCGTCCCTTGGAGACCCCGCCCTCACCATGGTAGCTGGCGCTGCACAGGTCGGATCTGATAGTAGAGGGACCTCGCCACCACAGAACGTGCTCCAAACCCTCGCAACTGTAAACCCCGAGTGACAATTGCCGTGTGCTGAAAACTGCAAAAACGTGAACGACCCTTACCTGTTTCTTCTGGTTTGATCTACAGAATAAATCTGTTTTCTCAGCCAACTGGAAAGAAATTGGAGACGAGAGAGAGAGAGAGAGAGAGAGAGAGAGAGAGAGAGAGAGAGAGAGAGAGAG